ACTTGTTCTTCAAAAGATTTGATGCAATATTTATCGTTATCTACTGTCTAACTGGTTAGACGTCTATTGCTTTCCGCTTCTTAATAAGGCTTTTGTTTTATCATTCTTCCATACCCATTAAAATTTTACGTATTTGTGGCTTATTTCTTTGCGCGAGTCAGATTCGATAGAAGAAATGGAAGCATGACAATTATGTACAGGAATCTGGAATTTGTGAACCGATTTCGACTTAAGACTTGGCCTGTTTTGTTTATTTTATTTCATATCCCCTGGTAAAGGTTTTAATTCATTTATAATTCCCAGATATATGTTAAATAGTAAGGTGTAATCTGCGCACAGAAATGCAAATAAATACGAAACTCTTAAAATAAAATCTTAGAGAAAATCAGCTGGAAATAGCTTCACTATCTTTCCAAAGAGGTCGTGTCAATCCTCAGATAATAAAGAAAAGGAATCCCTGAAAAGTTAGAATTGCCTTTGTTCTGAAGAATATATTACTGATATGAATCAACCGACAATAAAAAAAAGAGAAAGTTTTTAAATATAAAATATTTTCGCGTTTTTGAAACAAAGATTTTCTTATGGTGTATCACTGTTAAAGTTCCTGCTTTGTAGGAGCAAAGATGAAAAGATATGTGATTCCCTCGATTGTATGTGTAGAAAAGATAGGCAAGGGAAAAAGTGAACAGAAAAGAGTAAGTATCGCGTAGTTTTTGTATCATCAGGCGAATATATAAATATAATCCACTAACTTCTTTTTGATTATATATATATATATATATATATATATATATATATATATATATAGACACACACACACATATATATATATAGACATATATATAGAGACACACACACATATATATATATATATATATATATATATATATATATATATATATATATATATATATATATAATTATTTATTTAAAAACTTTATAACATAAAATCACTACAAAAATATCCATTTTGTTTCAACACCCCTGGTGTCTTACCAAGTGATGATGTTGAATGCAAAACAAATAGATTTAAAGGTTTCAAATTAACGATCCTTCGCAAGGGGAAATCGTTGTTACAAAAGCTAGAATGACCAATCAAAATACAAGTATAGGAAAATTCAAAAAGCCTGACAACGAAGTCATGTTATAATAGCTATTCAGATCTTTAAAATACGGGTAAAATTAAAAAAAAAATTATTCTAACCACTAATTATTAAATTATATGGTAAAATTTGATATTAAAATTAAAAACTGCCAATTTTAAAATCCTAATTTAATCACTATTAAGTTTAAAATTATAAAATTACCGAGGAGAAAAGGAGAAATACATATATTATTCAATTTATTTCTTCGTGGAAATTACGTTAGATTAGACGCTACTTCATCCGGTTCTCTGACAATATATATGTATACATTTTAATCCCAAGTGTGCGAATGGGGCCGTAAACTCACGCGTAAAACAACACAAACACAATCAGATTATAATACATAAGCATCCAGACATATTTAGATATATATATATATACACACAAAAAAGTGACGTGACAAAGAACATCTCCATGGCCCTTTATGAAAAAGAAATGGGAAACCAACACATACATACATAGACAATTAAAAGTGATTACACTATCCATACACATAGACACCGATAAATACATATACACACATCCACAGACAATCAAATACCACAGCTAATAAATATTTAAGACTGAAAGTGCCATTAAATAAATGCTAGCAACTTATTAAAATATAACTTAAGCAAGCAAGTATACAAATATAAAAATGGTTACAAATAATATTATTTGATATATTAAAAAACGAAAATTCCAAACCCATAGCACTCTTTTAAGAATAATAATTGTTGGTTACTGGAATTCATTCCATATACATATATAATATATATATATATATATATATATATATATATATATATATATATATATATATATATATGAACAGTTATTTGATTCCACAGAAATTGCACACAGATTAAAGATGCAAGAAGGCAGTAATTTTTTAGACAAGCATTTCGACCAGCATATTTGAAGAAGAATACGTTGATAATCTTGATTATCAAAGGAAAACAAAATTCGCACTGCGATAAAATATAGAAAGAAAAAAAGAACCTGGACTAAAATACAAATTTATTAATAACACTTATTAATAAACAAAGGGAAAAAATGCGGAGTAATATTTATATATTTAGTTTTTGCGGGGAGATACCAATGGTTTGGTGATACAAGTCTTACTAATAAACCTATAGCTAGCGGGAGAATTTGTATTGATATCTTTGCCAAGGTTATTTTCACGTAAGAGTATATAACGAACCCAACGGGACTCGACTGTCCGATTAACAATTCCGGTCTTTTACAACAACAAAAAAAAAAAATCTTTTACAACAAAAATACATCCAATCATACAACAAACACCTTGTTTTACCAATCGGTGACCTAAATACCAATGTTGTGGCTGGTTTACTTATATTACGTCGCTTATACAGGGTTTGGACAAAATACTTCAACCCCTTGTTAAATCCAAAGAAAATTTATTTAATATGGAGTTGGCCCTCCTTTAGCCTCACATAGCTGTAATATGTCTATGAATGGAATCGTACAGTTTCCTAACTTCATCCAGAGGAATTTTCAGCCATTTTTCCATTAACACCTGCTCCAGCTGTTTAAGACACGACGGTGGTGTATAGCGGCTCCTAGCATGTCACTCCAAAATTCAACACAAATGTTCAATAATATTAATATCGGGAGATTGATGAGGCCACTCCATGTGTTCTAGATGACTTTCATGCTCTTCATATCAATTCTTAACCACTTGAGCGGTATGTGTTGGAGCATTATCGTCCTTGAAGATGCAGTGACTATCAGGGAATAAAGTCTGGTCCATTGGATGAACAGGATTTACCAAAATGTTCAGGTAATCTTTACTGTTGATTCTACCATGCAGGGCAACTATTGGATCGAAATATTTCTATGATATGGCGGCCGAAACTCTCAATGATCCATCTCCATGATTCACTGTTTGAAGAAAGCAGTCAGGTTCGTAAGCTTCTTTAGGCTGCCTCCACACATAAACTTGCCCTGAAGTTAGGCAAAGAGAAAAACTGGACTCGTCTTAGAATATGACTTGCTTCCATTAGTCTGCAGACCAGGCATTGTGATCTCTACAACAATGGAAACTCTTCTGAATGTTGCTAGTGGAGAGAAGAGTTTTCCTTATGGTGGCTCTTCCATGATATCCAGCCTTATGGAGCTGACGACGAACAGTTTTAGTAGAAACCGCACTATTCAGGTGAATGTTCAACTCAGCAGTCGCTTTGGCCGCTGCATTCCGATTATTTTTGCCACATTGCGTTTCAATGCACATTGGTCCCTGTCAGTAAGTTTGCAACTATGGCCCAAATTGCTACGTTTTCTAAAGGTTTTGCCCCGTTTCTCGAATTGTGCCATAGTTCTTGATAAGGTAGCTCTTAAAAAACCAAATAGTTGAGCAACCTTAGTGATCGAGGCTCCTGCCATGCGAGCTCCTGTTACAAAGTTTTAGTTAAAGATCTTAATATGATAGGTCTTTGAAATATAGGAGTGGAATTTTCAACTGTTCCAATTATTTTACCCAACGTCTGTATTTGGCGATGATTTCATGAAACGTTGTTTCAACCTGATGTGACCGTAAGCCTCGAAGAATTAGTGCGACCATTTTATGTCATTAGTTTGTCTTCTAGTTATATGTGTTACCATTTTAGTTGTTGATGTTTTTTATGAAAGTTCTCAAATAATGTGGTTGTCTGCTAATTGTTACGGTTCTTTAGGATCGTTTGGCAACAGTCTACATGGTTCGAAGAAGCATGCACTTCGTCAAGTTCCACAGACTTCATGAGCTAAAATCCATTTTCAAACATCCGTCTACGAAAGCATTCGTATAGAGATGAGAGTTTCGATATCTGTGAACGCGTTTTTTACCATACACGACATCCATATGAAAGTCTAGACTTTTAAGAATATCACTTAAGTTTTCAGGTTAATGTGTTGGTTGTGTAGCCATTTACGATGTTGGACGAAGCTACCACTAGTGCAGCCTATTCTACATTCAATTTCCTTATCTATTGTATATGAAGGTATTTGAATTATTAAATAATATCACATAATGGATATTTATCACTGGTTTCATTCCAAGTCTGGATTTATTTCGATAGTTTTTTTTTTTTTATCGTATTCGTTTGAATATTTGTTACCGGACGTTGGTTTTCCGTTCAAAGTATTGTTAAAAACTGAATAGAAAGATATTCTAAGAAATCAAACGTTTGATAATGTATTTTTAAAAGAATAAATTATCAATTATATCATGCTAAATCTAACAAAGAGATATTATATATTGCGAGCAAGTAACTTATATTCTGCATCTAAAGGAAGAATCGGTGTATAAATCTGCTGTTCGCCGTTAGAAATAAGTACAGGCGTTCTGCAATGGCTTGCCCGTCTACTGCGAACAAATCCATGACACATTTGTCTATTTCCGGCTAACATCACACCCCGGTACGGTGAAGCTGTATGTGTTGCTTGAAATAAAGATAAAAACGATAGCAACTCTTGTAGTGATTAGCAACTTACTTTACGCGTTGCATTACACTAGATAAATGATGGAGTATTCAGTTTCGATTGCATAGACAGACCGTAGAAATATATATATATATGCAGTATTTTGACGAAGCTAAAAAAACAACAAAAGACAGAAACAAACACAGGGTAAGGTTTCTTCTCGTTGACTATAGAGAAGCCTTTTTGATGAAGTATACTGACATTATGTGCCTCGGTCTGTACCGTGAAATCAATATTTTTGACTCCACTTGTCGCTTATGAGTGACGTTCGGATTAAGTGGGAACCAAACAAATAAACAAAAAAATATGAAATCAACTTCGCAGTCAGGATTCGGTTGAAATTCGAGGATCTCGTCAATTACAAATATCCATAATATTTCCTTTACATCTGAC